CCTTTCTTTTGACTTGATCTTTGGTTCTTACCTGCCCTTTGCTTCTGAATACTAGCTTTCTTCCATGGTTTCCATGCTGCAGGATGCAGGGCTAAGGATACCAGCTGGAGCTTCTTTCTCAAAGAATGAGGAAGACCTTTACATCTTTGTTAAAAGAACACCTTTCCCGAAAGAACTAAACTGGCTGCTAGTAGAGAGAGTGTGGTGTAGTGGCTAAGAGTACTGGACCGGGACTCAGGAGATCTGGATTCTACTCCCCATTCAGCCATAGGGATCACTGGGTGACTTTGGGCCAGTCACAGACTCTTATGGGATTGTTATTGTGAGGATAAGATTGAGAGGAGGAAGAGATCATGTAAGCCACCTTGAGTTCCTTGGAAGGACAAAAGGCAGGATGTAAATATAATGAATGAATAAAAGCTACAAGGCTGTGTTGTTGCTTACACAGAAAGCTTTATGTCCCTTTGCAGTCTTCAAAGGGGAAGGCACTACAGGAGGCACACCATGGAAGAGCAATCAGTGTTTCAGCATCCACCCTCTGGAATACAATTGTCCAATTGCCTTTAGACAGGATGCTACAGTTCTGACATATGAACATCTTCCTAAGACTCATTGCTTCATACAGACTTTCCCTGAAGTGTGACTGAGCCAGCTGTAGTTTCCAGTGCACAGTAGTGTATTGTTCTACTGCTGATTAGTATTTATTAATTTCTACACAGTTTTATTAGGTATTGTGTTTTTGTTTTGATGGTAATGACATGGTATATTCACCATTGTGATAACTGTCTGGAAAGCAGTATATAAATCTGTGTTAATAAATAAGTACATGATTGTCCCTCACGATGCAGGTTCTAATATCCTAGTCCTCTAAGGGTTAAAGAAGGGTTGCTCAGTCTTGTCAGTAGGCCTGTCTCATTCTGTGTTGATGAATGTGAGATAAAGAATTACTGAGACTGGGTTCTTCTGAGGAAGAAGGGAAGAATTGTTGTTGTTTGCCTTCTATGGCAGGGCCAGGGAACCTCCAGTCCACAGGCTGAATTTAGCCCATCAGGCCACTGCTTCTGGCTCACGCAGGCTTCCTCAGAGAAGGTGGATGGGTAGGAGCGCTTCTCAGTTGACTTCATGTCTTCCTTGAGGGAGTGAAGCCTGTATGCAACTCAACCACAAGTCAAGTAATGGCACCTCAGGGCACCAGCTGAGTCCCATATGTGCATGCCTGTGTTTATGTGCATTACGGAGGGGACACTCATGTCAGGTGTGCAGGCTTGCAGTAGAAGTGTGGCCCTGCCTCATTCTGGCTTTTTCTTTTTGGAGCCAAGCAAGGCACTCATTTGGAGCCTGATCAGCCCTTAGGCCAAAATACGTTCCTTATGTATGATACGGTATAATCAGAAATCTTTTCTTTTTTCTGTGCTGATGGCATTGCATTCCACTCCACAATTGGACATTTGTGTGGGATTGAACCTGAAAATTCACCAGTGTCTATTCAGTGGCCATGCTTTGCATCTTATAGAATAATTATTTTCTAACAGCATGTAAGAGTCTCCATCAAAAGCTATTGGAAAAAGTTCTATTACATATCTCTTCTCTTTCTGTCTTGGCACTTCTTTGTTAAATGTACAAAAAAACTGTAATAAATTGGGGAGGAAATTATTATTTTTCCTTTGTCAAAAGCCATGATGCTTTGTCACGTAGCATATTCCGTGAAGTGATATATAGCTCTGTCATTAGTTATTGTTTTGTCTTGTTTATTTGTTTCTGAAGTAATTGAGAGCCCTATGAGATCCTGTGCCTGCAGGATTAATGAAAAACACAGTAGTGCTTATATCTATTGAGCCCAGGAGGTTTGGGTTCAAGAATTTGATCAGCCAGGAGCTGACTTTGTAGACTAGAACATAGGGTTGAACAGGATTATTCCTATTGGTTCTTCTCATCACTAGGTGTGGTTGGAGTTGACTCATAGAAGTTTGCTCTGCTTTCATTATCTGGGTGCCACTGCAGGTAATCAAGGATCATGGCAAGCACAGATTTGCCTTGATGGTGCCAGGAATCAAGTGCTTGAGCCTTGCTACTCTTCCTCTGAGTCACCTGGCATCTTAAATTATGTTTTAAATCTCTTGGGAATATACCAGGACTGCAGATTCTCAGCCTCCGAGTCCAGCCTTTGGGGTTCCTCAAATGGTCATGCTCTTTTATTGCAACCTCTGATTGCTAATTTGCTGCCTTTTGTGCAGTTTCTCCGCAATTCTCCCATTCTAAATGTGTGAAGTTCCTCTCCTCAGCCTTTGTTACTGGTAGTAAGACTTTAAGCTTCAAAATGCCAGTGTTTTTGGCCCTGATATTTTTTTTTTTACCTTCAGCCTCACTCATAATTGGAATGCAGGCCCCAAGAATTTCTCTGCAATGGAATTTGGACTTGGGGCCTCTGAAGGCTTTGTATTCCTGATGCATACTGCTGAGATGATTTGTTAAATATTTATCTGCTAGCCCTTTATTTTGGGAGGAAGGTTTTTTAGACATCTTTTGATATTGCTGCTTAAACTCTGTTGTACTTTAAAATTGCTGGAGTGAACAGTTTGTCTTCTTTATTCCACCTGCTTTTCCTTAAACATGGTGGACATGGGGTGTTTAACCCCGACCCCCCAACCCATCAGCTAGCCCTTGTTTAATTCATCATGGTTCTTCCTATGTCCTTAATTTTCCCTCTTAGTTTTTCTTTTCATATTGGTGACAAAAAATATACATCAGTAGGAATCTTAGTGGGATCAGTTTATGTATGCTTTCTTTGGATGAAACAGAATCACTGTCTGCTAGCGCTATGTTTATTTAATTATTTAATTCCATTTGTATGCCATCCCATAATCTGAAGGTTCTTTAGGTGGCTTACAAATGCTAAAACAAAATAAAAACGTAAGTACAATACAATAAAGCAATTGAGGTTCTAATAAAATAGATAAAACAATAAAATAATAAATAACATCATGTAATAAAATATATCCACATACACCAATAAGCACAACCAATAAATTAACCAAAATTAAGTTAAAATAAATAATCCATAAAAAGATATGAAATAAAATAAAATAAAATTAATTAACCAAAATATTGTTTAAATAAAAAGACTTTTACCTGGCACTTAAAAGAAAGAAGAGTAGGCGCCAGCTGTATATCCCTGGGGAGTGAATTCCATAGTCTAGTGTGACTACTGAGAATGCCCGCCTCCTAGCCCTTTCCCCTTTGATCTCACTAGGGAAGAGCACTTGGAGGAGGACTCCCGAAGAAGATCTAAGTGGATGGATAGGAGTATATGGGGAAAGGCACTCCTTCAGGTTACTTGGTTCCAAGCCATTTATGTTTGACTTTTCTCTTATACTTGGCTGCGGAGCATTCAGGAAGTTTGCTGGTAAATTGAAGCAAATGGACTAAAAACGTTTCAAGCTTACCTTTCAGGCCATAAATCAACATCAGGGTTACCTGTCCAGCAATGATCTCTTTTAGTCCCTTTGTTTAATTTCATGAATTCACATGAAGACTAAATCTTGAGTCTTCTTAGTAGTCCTGACTCAATGGATAGTTATATAGTGTGTGTGTGTGTGTGTGTGTACATCTCATCATGATGGTAATAAGAATGTGACAAACTGGGGCTAGGTGTCCTTTTTCCTTTTCAAGCACACTCATCCTTCCTTTCCCTTCTCCTGGAATGCAGGTTAATTCTGGAACTACAGAAAGTTCCACCCCACTTTGGCTGGCTGCTGCCTCCCCCCTCTCCAGTTTTTCCTCTTTGCTGAGACAGTGTTGAGGACAATTATCCAAGCTGCATAAAAGCTGCTTCCCTTTAATGGGCTGAACTCCCTGTACTGTGACAAACTGCCCAGCTGCTCTGGCTGCCTCCCACTTCCCATCCCAACCGCACCCTTTCTTTCCCAGTTTTTTGTGCTTCTTTCTCTCTTCCTTTATGCCATCTTTGACACAAGGCAGAGAAAAAACAGACTCGTTTGCACTGAGCCCAGACAGAGGGCCTTCCTTTACTCTTCTCAGATCATAGGGATGTAAGAAGAGTTTTGTTCAATCAGACTGGGAGGCTGTCTAATTCCGCATTCTCTTCAGACAGTGGCTAACTAGATGCCCGATTGGGGAACCCACAAACAGGACATGAGTGTGATAGCACTCTCCCACTCATGTTTCCAGCAATTGCCATCGGAGGCATACTGCCTCTCATTGTGGAGATAACATATCATCATCATATTTAGTAGCCACTGATAGTGTTCTCTTCCATGAATTTGTCTGTTCCCACTTTAAAGCCATTCAAGCTGGTGGCCATCCCTATATCTTAAGGTAGCAAATCCTATAGTTTAACCATGGAATTAAAAGTCCATGACTATTGCACTCATGTGCATTCTTCTTCATGGTTGTAGTTTCCTCCTTATTGTGAGACTATTATTTATGGGGGTGAATGCTCCCATTTTGCCTATTTAAAGGAGGTTTGCAGAGATATACAAGACGGTTGCTTTTGCTTGTAGCTGCCACAAATAAGAGTTGTGAGTGTTGGATTTTAGTGATGCACATCTTTGCGTGCATCCAATTTTCCTTTGCATATTTGGGTATGCCATATGAAACACCTGCATAGTGCTCACTGAGGGGGTTGCATATACCCACACAGCACTTCTAACACCTGCTCTCTGCATATGTTGTAGTGCTAGCCCATAAGAGTCCCCAGTCTGTCTGCAAGGGCTGATAGAAGCAATGCAGGCATTGCAAATTGCAGCCAACAATGCGGGGTGTGCTGGGCGGAAAAGATACTTGACTCTTCCAAAGAGGCTGTCTTCTCTAATGGTAAATTTAGTGGTCCTGGTGGTGATATTTCTGAACAACAATGAAAGCAAAACAGCTTCACATTTACATCTGGAGATGTGGGAAAAAAGAGACAGAAACATACAGCACATGGCTTGGACAAGAAATTCATGCAAACTTTCAGAGTGTTTCTCTTCATCTCTTTCCAGGTTCACCTGCGTTCTGCAGAACGGCTCCGAGACTTGTGCTGTGCCAATCGAGGCACCTTCATCAAAGTGGGACAGCACCTGGGGGCTCTTGACTATCTCTTGCCTGAGGAATACACCCATACACTTAAGGTGCTACACAGCCAAGCTCCCCAGAGCAGCAGGCAGGAGATTGAACAAGTGATCCGGGAGGACCTGGGGAAAGGGGTATGTGAGACAACAAGCATGTTGCTTAACTTTCTAGTTAAGCAAGAGCAATATGTGTATTCTGGGTAGTAGAGCAATGCTTTGCATGGACAGAGGGGCTTTCTTGGTGGTCCCTTCTAATAAATGCACTGTAATGTGCACATTTGTTGTACATTTGTTGTGCAGAATGCAGGCATCCTTCTTCCAGGTGGTGTTCCTTTTGCAGAAATATTGCCTTCTTGCAGTGCTCAAACTGGACTATTTTGTCACAGCAAAAATAGAACTTCTTATTCTATTGCTCTTTTGATTGCTGTGTGCCGTGTTCAGTGTTGTTAAGTGACTGTCACAGATAATATGTTGGATAATACCAGTAATAATACTTTAGATAATACCAGTAATAATATGCTGGATAATACTAGTGATGAGGTGAATCTGCCCCTGCTGTAAACTTGCACCATTTTATATATGTTAGATTTGCTTTCCTTAGCACCTGATACAGGGAATAGCTCATGGGATGCATATCTCATTAAGATAATACTGTTTTTTCATTATTAATCATTAGAGACAGACAGTATATACTGCACAAAGCTATTCATGACCTGTAGCTTATTGCAAATGTCCAGTTAGTTAATATGGGGGCCAGGACTGAACATGGACTACAGAATAGCCATGAGTGGCATAAGTGGAACAGCAACAACAGCAGCAGCAGCAACAACAAAAAGGAAAGACCTGGGAGGAGTATAATCAATGGGCAAGTTTGATGCCAGTTTCAGGTTGCTTTTTGTTGACAAGTTACATCTAGGATATTCATCTGATTGGCATCAGGCTCAGCAGCTGCACATCCCCAGTGAAGCCAAGGGTTGAGCAGAGTTCATGAGCTGAGGAGTTTGTTGAAAATGCATACAGGATGGATAAGTATGTAGGATAAAATACAGAGGCTTAGAGAGGGGTCAGTGAGAGACTCAGAAGGTTAGTTGGCATCAGCCAGGATATGCAACACAATCTGGCAGGCTGCATTGCAGTAAAATGCCAGAGAGAATATAGATCTGATCTAGCAAATCATAGAAGTCCTTCTACATAATTAGGATATAGCTGCCTGTAGGCCTGTCAAAGCTGATTGAAAAAACGGGTTGTTAAGCTCTCTTTTTGTAGAGCGATGGGGAGTACAAATGTTCTGTTTGGAAGTCCACAGGTGAGCAGTTCAGATCCATGACAGCCATAAGTGTAGGAGAGCAGTATCCAGGAACCTCCTGTTCCTAATATATGTTGTCTGAAGGATTTGGAGGAACCTGGACATCCTGTTGAAGAATGACCAAGTAATAAGAAGAGGGCTCTTTCAACAAAATGTGGCTTCTATGGGGCCGGAAGGCTCCTGGGGCAGGAAAGTCTCCCTGCTTGAGACTTTTGAAATACAGGTAGTCCCTGGATCATGAAAGCGAAGTTATGAACAACCTATATTTACAAACATGTGGACTGCCATAAGTCCTATATGAATAGTTCTCTAGAGACAGTAATGGCTTTTTGCTAGAAATAGAGATTCGCTAGAGATATTCATGGCTTTTTTGTTAGAGATAATCATGGCTATCTTTAGGGAAATATGTGACATGTTTGGCAATGCCTCTCTCAGTGGCCATGTAGTTCCCTAAAGATGCAGTGTTCATGGCTTTCTGTTCCATGGCAATTGGACCCCAGGGGTAAACCCCCTCCAGGAGCACAATCAAACCCTGACTCTCCGGCACCATCTTCATCATCAGCAGCATCAGTTAATGTTACGCTTAATGTTACCTCAAGAATGCTCTAGACCAGGGGTCCTCAAACTTTTTCAGTTAGGGGCCAGTTGAAAGGTGGTGGCGGTGGGAGTGGTCCGGTGAGGCAGTGATGGGCACGCGTGCAGCGAGGCGGTGGCAGGTGGGTGTGTGCAGCGTGGTGGCGGCTTGCTCACTCGGAGATCTCCAAGCGGGCCCAATATGATCTCCAAGCGAGCAAGCAAGCCACTGCCTCGTGATGACAGGCGTGGACACAGGTGCAGGGGGTACAAAACCTCTGAGGCGGGCTGGATAGATGGGCATGGGAGCCAAATCCGGCCTGTGAGCTGTAGTTTGAGGACCCATGCTCCAGACCAGTGGTGGCAAACCTATGGCACATGTGCCAAAGCGGACAGGCAGAGCCCTCTCTATCGGCACGCAAGCAAAGTCACCCCAGCTTCGCCCCAGCAGCTGAGTATTGGATAAAAGCATACACAGGCACAATGCGCATGCTTGGAAAGGAGTAGTGGTGCCAGGCGATGATGTCTGAGCTTTCGCATGGCCGGTCAGTGCATTGCCAAGGATATATATACCTATATATTTGCTTGGACTGGCTGTGAGTTGTTTTTTCTAAACTGAAACCTCAGTTTTCAGGTTTTATTGCAGTGTTGGGACTTTGCGATAAATAAGTGGGTTTTGGGTTGCGGTTTGGGCACACGGTCTCTCTCACTGGGTTAGGGTTAGAAAAACGAGGTGTTCTGGCATGATTTTGATGGTTGTAATGTGTTTAGAATGGATAGAAATGTTGAACTGTGCAGAAAATCTACTCAAGGAAAGCTTTTCCAAGAATGCATCATTTTCAATGGTATTCTACCCCTATATTAGGGTTAGGGATATGCACCAGGGTAGGGTTAGGGTTTCAAAAACAAGGTGTCCTGGCATGATTTAGATGGTTGGAATGTGTTTAGAATGGGGAGAAATGATGAGCTGTGCAGAAAAAGCCACTCAAGGAAGGCTTTCTCAAAATCGCCCTCTTTTCAATGAAACTTTACCCCTATCTTATGGGTAGGGGTGTGCACCAGGTTAGAGTTAGAGTTACAAAAACATGATGTCCTGGCATGATGTTGAAGGTTGGAATGTGTTTAAAATGGTCAGAAATGATGAGCTGTGCAGAAAATGCTACAGAAGGATGACTTTTTCAATACTGCCACTTGCAGTCCTATTTTACCCACATATTTGGTTTAGGGGGGTGCACCAGGGTAGGGTTGGGCCAGTGGTGGTGAACCTATGGCACGCATGCCAGAGTGGGCACGCAGAGCCCTTTGTATCGGCATGTGAGCCAAGTTACCCCAGCAGCCAGTCATTGGATAACAGTTCACATAGGGTCCACGCGCATGATCAGAAAGGAGTCGCAGTGCCAGGCGATGACATCATGAGCCACGACTCATGAGCCATGACTCATCCGAGCTTTCGCATGGCCAGTCAGTGCTCTGCCAATGATATGTTTTGACTGTTTGTGAGGTGTTTTTTCTAAACTTAAACCTCAGTTTTTAGGTTTTATTGTCATGTTGGCACTTTGCAATAAATAACTGGGTTTTGGTTTGCAGTTTGGGCACTTCGTCTCCAAAAGGTTCATCATCACTGCTCTAGACTGTTTTAAGAACTGTTTCTTTTATTTGGTTTTTACAAAACTGTATACCTATACACATAAATACAGATTCTCCCTCTTGTTCTTCAGTACCTGTAGTTACTTTAGTATTATTGTATTATTATCATGGACGAGGAATTTGGAGGAATGCTGTCCTTGGGGTTATGATGGGTCGGTCGCGACTTCACAACTAACAATAACAACTATTATCATAATTACAATACTATATTACATTTAAGAAGTTTTAGTGATTATGAAAGTCTTTCTTAACAGCACAGAAAACTAAAATTTATACATATACTAAGAAAAACATTTGGCTTACTTATGTGATCCGACTTAGATACAAATTTGACATTCTCAGGCATGGAACTCATTCTTAAACTGGGAACTACCTGTAGTAAATCAGGGCAGCTGACAACTGACCTACTTGTGCCTTTGGGAGCTCTCTGGTGTCCCTCCTCAGTGCTGGGTTGTCTCACCTAAAAAAGTAGAGATTGGAAGGGGGTATTGTGCAGAGAGCCAGTGTGGTGTAGTGGTTAAGAGCATGGGACTGGGACTCAGACGATCTGGGTTCTAGTCCCCGCTCAGCCATGGAGCCAACTGGGTGACTCTGGGCCAGTCACAGACTCTCAGCCCAACCTACCTCACAGGGTTGTTGTTGTGGGGATAAGATGGAGGAGGAGAATGATGTTAGCTGCCTTGAGCCCTTTGTAGGAAAAAGGCAGGATATAAATCGAAAAATAAATAAATAAAAGAGGAGAGGGGATGGATGACTTAACTGAGCAATGACTTACTTACTTACTTACTGAGCAATGGGCTCCTTCTCCCTTCTCCTGAACACAATGTGAGTGCACACATGCACAGTTTGAAGTTCCTTGTGCTTTAGTTTTTCTTTGTTGCCTTCTTTTTAAAATGAATGTATACATTTTTTTGCAAATGTTTTGAGAAGCAGAAGATATAAATAGCTTTCCAAGCTTTAAACATTCCAAAAGCTTACTATGTTGTTTCTTAATATGTGTTTCTTGTAAGCAAATTATATCTAATTTTGCAAATCTTGGGGTTTATTTATTTATATATTTAAAACCTTTGTATGCTGCCCACCTGTGCCACAACACTTTTGATTCAGGTTCCCCTGAATCTTCCAGACTCTCCCTCTTGTTTACAGTTGAAGTTATTTTGGCACCAGCATGAATGGAACACCAAAGCCAACCTGTGTATTTATTCCTCTGTAAGCTTCCAGAAGTCAGAATCTCCCTTTTAATAAGGGATAGGAAACCCAAGAGCCAGGGATGAATTCTGGCCTTTCAGGGAAAGGCCACAACCCCCCTTTCCCCCAAGTACCAGTTGTTTGGTGGGTTCCCAGATTCTGTGCCATTTGTTTCTCTATTTTAAAGAACTAAAATGTTTCTTCTCAGGCTTAGTTATGGGCTGTTGTGAGAGAGGTAAATTGAAACATGCTGTTCATTGTTTCTTTCTGTAGATTTGGCCCTTGTCATCACTGGAACATGGCCCCAAAGGTTTTTAAATGGAATTTGGCCCTTGGGTTGAAAGAGGTTCCACACTCCTGCTTTAAATGCTTAGTCCCTCACCGCAGATGGTGACTGCAACCAAGAAATTAAAAGACGCTT